TGCCCCACCCCTCTTTGTCACTGCAATTATTCTCTGCATTCTCCACACACAAAGTATCTGATAGTTTCCCCAAGCTGATATTCTTTGTTCTAACGATCTTACTTCTTGTGCAGCTTTGGAGCCAAATTTATTCTTTGTGTAACACCACTGAAGTAAAGGGAGAACAGATTTATGCTGCATAGCATTAGAATCCAAACTATATGATGCCCTTATTCTACATAAAGTACTACAGGCTTGAAGGGAAGATATCAAGTCCTATTCAGTGTCAGTAGAGGTGTCACAATCCAGCCTGAGGGAATTAAATTCTTTTATCTGAATTCCCTGAATATTCCTAATTTTTAGATTGGGTTTTACAACTTCCTGCTCGCGTGTATTAAGCCGTCTCCAATATTCTACCTTTATTGCTTCTCATCTGTAATAGCTTTTTACTCAAACACATTACCCTTTAAAAAAAAAAAGGCATTCTTGAAATCTGGAATCATCCTGGTTGTCATATGTTGCACACTCTTCAAAGCAATCACATTCCTTCATTGTGCACGATAATAATAATAATAATAATAATAATAATAATAATAATGACCTAAACTTGATATAAAATTTGTGATGAAGGGTAAATAGCACCTTTCAGTTTTTATTTTATACTGGCTGTCATACATCCCAGAATCCAGCCTGCCTTTTCCACTGAAGCCAACAATGACTTGGAACTTATTCTTGAAAGTCCCTTTCTTAGCCCTTGAATGAATGTTCCAGTCCACACGGAGCTCTTTGTATTGATGTATTGATCAAAGGTTTATTGTTTTACATTTGTCTGCATTATCTATATAGATTATCTGTTGGCTTAGTGACACAGAGGGTCAAAAACTTCCTGTAACTACTTGGGTTCTTGCTATATGATATTAGTAGCATCAATATATGCTGGTACCTTATTTTTATAACTCTCTATTAAATCTGTTGGAGGCAAATCCTGACAAAACCTGCCTATGTTATGGGTGTAGAACAACCACAGCTCTTCTGGTGATTTAGCAAGAGCAGAATTGTAAAGGAACCCAAACCACCAAGCCAAACCTTGGCCTCAGAGCCCTGTACCCTGTTCCAGAATCATGTCCTGATCTGGTGCAATGTGATTTGAGATGAGGTGAGACCTTCCTCAGTGTCCTAGCTTGTGGGGAAATAGAGTTCATCAATTGAAGAAACAAGGAAGGGCAGAGAAGACCAGTCCCAGCCTGAAAAGCCAACTAAGAACTCTGAATGGCCTACAAAAGAAGCAGTCTATATAAATACTGCAACCCCAAGAACTGTTATAGGAAGCCAAAAGGAAGGTTCCCAATTTTATACAGAAAATGCTCACACCCATATTCACATACAATTGGGAAGACAGAGAACAGAGACTGGGAGGTTAGCTCTGAGCCCAGCAGGGAGAAGCTGGTTAGGATTTAAAGGCAGTGGCATGATACATGGTGACAGGCCCTCAAGTCTGCAACACCCATTGTGCCTAAAGCTTGCAGCCCTGAATAGTGGGCTCTGAGCTAGTAGGCACAGCTGGAGGAAAATGGCTGAGGTCAGGAGAGCATACATTTAGGGTTGGAAGGGGCCTCATAAGATCATCGGGTCCAGCCCCCTGCCCAAGGGGCAGTAAGTCAGCTAGGGTTAAAGGATCCCAGCAAGATAAGCATCCAAGTGTTTCTTAAAAGTGTCCAGAGGTCCTTGCACCACCTCTGGAGGCAGTCTATTCCAGGCCTTGGGGGCTCGGACAGTAAAGTTTTTCCTTATGTCCAGCCTAAAACGGTCTCGAAGGAGTTTGTGACCATTGGACCTTGTCATCCTTTGAGGTGCTCTGGTGAACAGGCGTTCCCCGAGATCCTGATGCACACCCCTTATGTACTAGTAGGCTGCCACCAAGTCATCCCTGAGCCTGAGCTTCTCCAGGCTGAAGAGTCCCATAGCACGCAGCCTCTCTTCATAAGGCATGTTCTCTCGCCGTCTGATCATGTGTGTGGCTCTCCTCTGGACTCTTTCAAGCTTTTCCACATCCTTCGTGAATTGTGGAGCCCAGGATTCGATGCAGTACTCCAGCTGCAGCCTCACCAAGGCCAAGTACTGCAGGAGGATGACTTCCTGGGTCTTGCTCAAGCCAGAGTTTTGTTTGCCTTGCCAGCTGCAGTATCGCGTTGGTAGCTCATGTTCATCTTATGGTCAGTCATGACCCCCAAGTCTCTTTCGGTCATGGTGCTAGTGAGTGTAGTATTGCCAAGCCTGTAAGTGTGATGTGGGTTCCCCCACTCCCCGAGGTGGAGCACCTTGCATTTCTCCATATTGAATGCCATCAGGTTTTCATCTGCCCACCTTGCAAGCCTATTGAGGTTGGCCTGGATCACCAACCTATCCTCAAATGTGGATACTTTTCCCCAAAGTTTGGCGTCATCAGTGAATTTAGCCAGTCCGCTTTGGACACCAGAGTCCAAATCATTTATAAAGACATTAAAGAGTACAGGTCCAAGAATGGAGTCTTGGGGGGACACCACTGGTTACTGAGTGCCATGTTGATTTGGTTCTGTCAACTACCACCCTCTGGGTTCAGCCTTGGAGCCAGTTCCCCAGCCATCAGACTGTGGTATAGTCAAGGGCACAATTGCCCAATTTTTCCATGAGGACATCATGGGATACCAGGTCAAAGGCTTTTTTAAAGTCCAAATATATGATATCAACCTTTTCCCTTTTGTCCAGGTGATATGTCACCTGGTCATAGAAGGAAATTAGGTTGGTCAAGCAAGACTTACCCACAACAAACTCATGCTGACTATCCCTCAGAATATTGCCTTCTGTTAGCCTGTCAATAATAGTTTCTTTAATAATTTTTTCAAAGATCTTCTGGGGGATTAAGGTCAAACTGATTGGCCTGTAGTTTCCCAGGTGTTCTTTCCTCCCTTTCTTGAAGATAGGCACCACATTGGCCCTCTTCCAATCTTCATGTACTTCGCCCGAGCTCCACGAGTTCTTGAATATCCTTGCCAGTAGCTGCGCTATGATGTCTGCCAGTTCCTCTAGCACTCTTGGGTACAATCTATCCGGACCAGATGATTTGTGGGGGTCCAGCCTCTCAAGGTGTTCCCTCACAAGATCTATGCCAATGGTGGGCATATATTCACCCTCACCCTGGTCATCCCGCATCATGTTAGACAGGGTGGTCCCTTTGGGCTGGTGAAAAACTGATGCAAAGTAATCATTAAGCAGATTGGCTTTTTCCTGGGTGTCAGTAGTCAGCTGCCCCAATTGGTTTAGCAGGGGTCCAATGTTGACCTTGTTTTTCTTTAGTCTCCCCACATATCTGAAGAAGGACTTTTTATTGTCCCTGATTCGTGTAGCCAGTTTGAGTTCAGTTGCAGCCTTGGCTTTCCTAGTTTGCTCCCTACAGGTGCAGACCAGTGCAAAATACTCCTCCTTAGTGGTGTTCCCTGTCTTCCAGCCTTTATACACCTCTCTTTTTAAATGTAGGAGGTCCATGAGTTCTTTGTTGAGCTAAGGGGGTTGTTGAGCCCTTTTATCATCTTTCCTACAGGTTGGGGTAGACTTCCCTTGTGCTTCTAGGATTGCTTAAGGAGCAACCACTCATCATGAACCCCCCTCCCTGTCAAATCATGGCCTCTCAGGGCCTCAAGAACAAGCCTTCTGTGCTTATGAAAGTTGGCTTTCCTACAGTTGAGGACTACTGCATTGCTGGCTGACTTGCCAGCTATGCAATGGATAGTGAAAGTGATCAACTCGTTGTCACTGTCACCCAGCTTCCCTTTGATTCTTAGGTCACTGATCAGATCATCCCCTTTGGCCAGTACCAGGTCAAGCAGCGCCTTACCTCTTGTTGGCCCATAAACTTCTTGAGACAGATAGAGCTCATTCACGCATGTGAGGAAGCTTTGAGACTGATCACATTTGGCTGAGTGCTCTTCCCATGAGATGTCTGGGTGGTTGAAGTCTCCCATGACAACCATGCTCAGAGAGTGTGCAGCCTTGGCCAGTTCCTTGGCGAATTCATGGTCAAGCTCTTGTTCCTGATTTGGAGGTCTGTAGTAGACTCTTACCATTGTATCTCCTTCACCATGTTCCCCTTGTATTCCAACCCAAAGGGTCTCCAGTCATCCTCGTTGGGTGCCAAACTCAGCTTGTAGGGACGTGTAGCTCTCCTTCACATAGAGAGCTACACCCCCACCCCTTTTATCAGCACAATCTCTCCTGTACAGGGTATAGCCATTTATACCCATAGTCCAGTCATAGGAGGATTCCCACCAGGTCTCCGTTATCCCTATGAGATTGTAGTCATTTTTGTTTAACAGAAGGACCAGTTCCTCCTGTTAATTTTTTGGCTTCTTTTGACTTCTTTTTTGGCATGCACATGTACCCTTGCTTTGGTGCCCTGGATACCTAAAGCCCCCAGCTTTTTTACCAGCTCTACCTCGGTGGCAAGTGACATGGGCTCATTTAGGGTCTGGGGTTTTCCCAGAGTTGAGCCTGCACATCCCCATGGAAGGCATTGTTGACAAAGTAATCATGGGGCAGTAGGTCTTGTACCTGTGGGCCAACTTGTAGGAAGGCTTTTATGGCCAAACTCTTGTGCTGACTCTGTTGCCATCCTCTTATGGTTAAAAAAAGCGGCATGGTCCCATGGTAGGCCTCTCTGGCTCTCCCTATGAGTAACAGTCTCAGAAATTTTAGCTCGGTGGTCCCATCCCACTCATTTAGTTCAGATGCTATTTCAAACTGTTAATGCCAGTCTGCCATTCTTGGTGTTCCCCACTAAAGGGTTCTGGGTTGAATACTGGCCTTGAGACACTAGGTTGCGGAATGGGGGTCCCTCCCCTGAGGTACTCATCCTCCTGCTCAAATACCCATGCAGCAATAAAATTTATACACACCCTACACAGCCTATAACTACCGCTGCCACCAGTTATAACAAATCCCACCACCCCAGGAACTGATACAGGAAGCCAAAAGGAAGGTTCCCAATTTTATGCAGAAAATGTTAGGGATTAGGGTCACAAGCCAACAGGCTAGGGAGAAATTAACAAATACAAGTAGATAAATATTAACATTAAAGTACATATACCTAGAAACAGAATAACAGATAACAAACAGTAACGCTGTGGTGTATTCACTCAAGAACAGGTAACAACACACAGTAGTACCAAGGTACAGACACTCAAAGACCCTTGTACCCTCCCACACCTCCAGAGGTGTCCCAAACCAGCCTCTAGTCCTGAGAGCACTCAACTGCTGTCCACATGTCCATGTCCTGCAAGAGTCCCGGCTCCATCACTCCTCTGGAGTCTCTGACCCCATGTTTCCCCTGTCCTCTGCAGCTGTGCTCTGCTGCTGCTTCTCAGTTCTGCTCCTGCTTCCTGCTTCCTCTGTCTTTTGTCTCCCAGCCCCCAGAGTCTCTAGGAGTTGTAGTTATATGCAGTTAGTACAGTTTTGCAGTTCATATTCAGTTAGCAGGGTTGCTCCCCCTGCTGTCGCATATCTACGGTGCAGTGCATTACAGTTAACTTACACAGTCCATTACACATGGGACATTTGTGAGGCACAGGAGTGATTTTGTGCCGTGTACATATGCCAAATTTTTGTGCTGAATGAGTTCACCAAGCCCTTGGTTCTTCCTTCTTCCCTGGCAGTAACCAGCACATGGAGCAAAAAAGAAAAAGTCAGCATTTACCAGGGGCTGGTACAGGTAGCATACCAAAGCTGCTCATCCCCCTGCTACAGCTGTCACAGACCCAACTGTTGTGGACACATGCAACACCCACAATCGGGGCATAGCCACTTGCTCAACCTGGCTGTGCTCCTGATTGTTTAAGCTAGCACTGATTTCACACAGGCAATAATAATGGGCCTGTATCTCCCTTGTTCTCTAGGCAGCATAGTCTCAGGATCAGGGCCCTTGGAAATATTGGGCTTGAGTGTCTTCTCAGTGACAGAGGAGCCATAGCTGGTGATCTAGCCTGTCAATGTCAGTGGAATCACTCCAGTTTTACACCAGAGCAACAGAAAAAAGATGCCTGCCAGATCCTGCAAGCCTATTCCATACAAAAACCACCCATTGCTTTCTGCATTCAGAGACCTGGCAGTAAGAGACCCATTATAAATTAACCCTTGGATCTTCCATTGGTAACCTCTTTGAAATTTTTAAACTCTATCATGCCAAGACTTCTTAAGGCACTTTGCAGTAACATTAGAATTAAATTTACCCATTTGATGGATTTAATAATTAATTTAAATCAGTTAAAAGCCAGTAAAATATAAATATGTTTTTTTTAAGTTGGTCTGAAATGGGTGAGAAAATGGAGATGTTCTGAATAGCAAAGGGCATTCATTTCTGCAAAGCAAAATGCCCCATTGTTAAAGGAGCAACCACTCTCACATTTTGGGGGGGAAAGATTCAAGAGGACCTACAGCTTAAAACCGGTATCCTGCAGGTTAATGGTTCCTGGGAGTTGATCCAAAGCCCATGGAAAGCAGTAGAACCTTTTGGCTTCAGCAGGCTTTAAATCAGACCCTTTCCCCCTCTTTATACAAGACCTTAAACAAAGTCAGCTAAAGTACCCTAAAAAAGGAATATCTTAAATTAGGACCCTAAATGCATATTCAGGCTTCTAAGGAAGTAAACTCATTTCAGAAGTGCTCAGTATTTTCAGGTCAATAGAAGCTACTGGGTGCTCTGCACTTAAAAAAAAAAAAAACACACACAAAAAAAACCCCAGGCAATTTAGCTAAGTGCCTAATCTTGAAAATCCTGGTCTTTATAACTGACCTAAGCTTTGATAGGTTCCGCGTGTACCAGGCTACGATTGGGGCAATCACGCAATTCTGCCTCTTCACGCCAGGCAGCTGGTGTGCTTTGTACTAGCCGTCACCTTCTAGTCAAACAAGCAGTAAGCAAAAAAAGCACAGCAATCGATTTGTGAAGTGACAAAGGGCCTGATTCTGCTCGAGTTTGCACACAAAACAAGTCCATCCTCTTCAAGAGGGTCATCCCTGATTCTACACCAGCCTCAGTGAAGGGAGAACAGGACCAAAAATGTGGATCAGGATTTCTGCATCAGGAAAGATAAGAAAGGAGGCAGGTATCTGGATGTGTTTACAATTTCCTTCCAATTACCATGCCTAGGCACTGATGTGTTTGTAGCACATTCACAGATATACATCCTCACTTCTCAGAACTGGCTCTAGCAGGACCATATAATATATGCAGAAGGCTTGGTTCTCACCAAATAGAAATAGAAAGGAAGATTTGCTTTGGGAAAATCTATTTTTCTGTGAATATTAATCATTTCAGCTTTGATAGTGAAGTGATACAAGTAAAAAAGCCAAGAATTGCTCCAGGGCTCCACACAGATGACTATTGTAGCAAAGACATTTGCTGGAGATAACAGTGCTTAAACTCAGAATCATTATACAGCACACAGCTAACTCAAACCAACCCACTTGCTCCCCAAGTTTTAAACAGAATTAATGTGACATCCCAGCTGAGGCCGGGACTCAACAACTCAGAATATAAAAATGACAAATTAAAAGCAAGTTCCATATGTGTTTTAATCTTAAATAGCGAAAGATATATATATGCCAGATGATATGAGAGCAATATGTTCCTTGATGTACCGCTCAGCTTCCTTAGCAATTTTAAACAGTGTTTAGTATGTTTTGCAATATGAAAAGTGCTGGGGCTGATTAAAAAAAAAAGTTTGGCTAGACATGATGAAGGTCATGACTTATCACATGGCAACACAGAAGAGATTTTGGATCAAGCAGGCAATTCCATCTGGACTTGGATAGCATTAAGGGCCATTGCTATAGATCATCTTTATACATTTCCATAATGTAAAAGATAGCTTTATTATGTGAACGTTGTTGGTCATCAAAGGAACTGGAGGCTCTTTATTTTAGAAAATATATAACCTGCACTAGAGAGGAACAGTCTGGCTTGGATTTAAGTATATGCTACATCACTGATTATTAATTTTGTATTTTACACTAAGTTGTATTTAAAGGCCAGCCCAAGGTCAAAGCTCTAAGAGACAGTTCCTTCACTGCCCAGCTTGCAGTGTCTGTAGATAAGACTGACAAAGGAAGCATTTATTATCTCTGTTCTAAAAGATAACGATGAAGGCACATAGCAATGAAATGACTAGCCTGTGATTACACAGGAAGTCTGTGGCAGAGCTAGAAACGGACCACAGATGCCCCGAGGCCCAGTCTTCTTCTTCCATTGACTTCAATGGAGTCCATTAACTTCAATGGCACCTACATGCGCCTGGTGAGAATGTTAAGATTGAACATGTTAAAAAAAAGATCAAAAGAAACAGCTAAGTGAAGATAGCAGTAAGTCCAACAGACTATGCACTGACCATCAGCATATGCACAAGGGACAAAGCTGAAAAGCAACTAATTTAACCATCCCAGATGTAAAGGAATAATGTACTAATGCACACAACTGAAACATGTTGCTTTTATCAGAAGATACTTTTTTCTAGACCTGAAAAGACCCAGAAGCTGCTGCTACTACAATGACAATATGTTACAGGAAGAGGATAACTTAGAAACACACCTCTTTCTCCTCCAGTTCATCACTTACTTTCTCATCCCAGCTATCTTCATCCTTATCCTTACAGACTGCCTTCTCCTTATCCTCCCCATTGCTCCTCCTCAACACAATATGAGATAGGATTTGTGGCCATGTACAGACATTTAGTTTCACCTGGGAGAGGAGTGACTCTCCCAGGAGAAACAACAAATGTACAGATGTCCAGGATTTTTCTCCCAGAGTAAAAATGGCTGCTCCACAAGTAAAATAACCTGGGAACAACCAGAGTTAAATCACTCCAAGGAGAGTTTTTCCAGTGAGAGCAAATGTCTGTACACATTCTCTTCTGGCAGAAGCTGCAGTACAATACATCAGCATCCTGTGTTGTTTTGCTGCACCTCCAGCTACTTCCAGGGAGACAGTGTCATTTGCTTGACTCTATTGCTCCAGCCAAGCAGGGAATAGAACATAACCCCTTCACAATCCCCACATTGTACTGCAGGGAGACAAAGGCACTGGAAGTGCCCTGTGTACTACAGCCATCTGTCACCAGGCAGACTGAAGGAACCTGCAGAGTTGTCTGAGATGTGCACAAGGGCTCCCTGGCTGTGCAATGTCAGCCCTGCAAGCTCTCCGCTCTTCAAAGGTTCAGCATACAAATGTCTATTCAGGCATATCCGGGTAAGTTTTTCCCACCAGGAGAACAAACCTGTGATAATTCTCCCAGATTATTTGAATGTGTATATGCAGTCTGTGTGTGTTTCACTGAAGAGGCTCCCAGTTGTGCACCACAAGAAACTGATGTGTGGTCCTGATATTATCAGGAAAGCCAAACCAGCCAGTCACACAGACAGTATGGACCACTAATGCCCACAGCCAGAGTCTAATCAAGCAGCCTCACTTTAAACGTCAAAAAAAATACCATGGAAACCTCATGAGTTTCACTTCAACAATGAAACAACCCCAGGAATAATCCTAAAAATGGGTGCATCTCAAAGTATTTTTCCAGTTCTCATAACTTGTGAAGCAGTAAATATAATGTTAAATAAAAGTAACCTGTAGGAGATACAGATGTCATGTACAGGTATAGTTAGACTGATAATGTAAGATATAATAATAACAACTTCATAATTATATGTCCATAAAACCTTTTTCACTTAGAAAACTACTAAGAAACTTTGCAGACTATAAGCCAAATTCCACTGAAGTTGCTTCAGATTCCATTAGTCTGAATTAGATTTTTATTTCTTTACAATAGACTACAGAAGTAGATTTTTTTTTTCTAAAGTAAAAAAGTTCAAATTTTCTTCCTGCAATATTGACATAGGACATTTTGAAACCATGTCATCCTGTCCGTTGTCTGTCCTACCCCCCACCCCCCTCAGTGAAATTTCAGCAAAATTGGCATGATTTCTCAAAGCATTCCTATTTTAAAGGGACTTTAATTTTCCAACAGACAATGATTACATCTACATTTTTTCCAACCAGTCTTCATCTAGATCTATGTCTGCATGCATGCCTATAAGCACATCTGTGTGTGGATGATTGAAACAGAGCTACCTTTCTGGTTGAATTAAACATCCATATAGAGAATTAAATCAATCAATTCCAGAGAAGTAATTTAGCAAAGCAGGGTGTAGTAACCCAATTAAGTATTTGGCTGTGGTACCAGATTAGTGCTGTGCTATGGAATTTCTAATGAGTAAAAAGGACCTAATAAGTAACAAGTATCTAATGAGTAATAAGGACGTGTTTTTCTGCTAGCTTTATACCACACCCAAAATATTTTACTGGCTAGTGTTCACATATACTTTTCTGGATAGAATTCCACCTCCGCTACAGATAAAGGAGTCTCCATGACCTCAAGTTGGCTTCTCTTTGACAGCAGAGGAGTCCAAGTCCTATCCCAACAATACCAGGAAGTCACCAGGGAACCTCTGTTGGTACCAGATTCTCTAATGCTAGCTGCAGCCAGAATTTCAGATAGAGTCAGAGCTAAGTTCCATGTGTTGAAACACTGAGACAAAAAAACAGGGAATCAGAGAGTACAACAAAAAGGCCATTGTCAAGAGCACCAGCATGAACAAGTAAAACCACAAAAGAAAACTGAAATGGTGAATGGGCATTGCATGGTCTCCTCCTTTCATTAGGGATGGTATTGGTATTCTTTTAATTATACGTTTACCTGATAAATCCTTTATGCAAAAGAATTGAGAAAAACATATGTGGACTCATGTTTGAAAAAATATATTTTGACATATATACTACAAAAGGCTACATAAAACTTTTAACCAATGCTTTAAGAACGCAGTGCTTAAAATGGTAGTGTTTTAGCACAAGCCATTACATAACTGTACATACTTGAAGCCTGAAACACAGTTTGTTAAAGTCAACCTAAGCATATGAGCACATGGATGTATTACAACAGGGTAAGCCTGGGCATACATTCACAGTGGGAGTGTCTACACATTCACTGATGTGCCATAGTTATAGCGCATTAAGTATAGTACTTGTATAACCAAGTACTAAATCAATGCACAGTAACTGGCACTACTGCACAGCAGTGCCGGCACATGGCTTTTTAGTAATGCTAACTGCACAGTAGTCTAATATTACTGCACAGTATTGTATTAGCATGGTTTTTGCCTTGTACGCTACCGCACAGTTAGCATCTCGTGTAGACATGCCCAGTGTGTCAATTACTGCATGGCAAGTGCCAATAGGCATGCTCTTATGCTTCATTAAATATGAGGTAAGTCATCTTTCAATGAAAAGGAAATAAGTTGATTAATGTAGGCTGTACTTAGCAGGGGTAAGAATATACACATGGGCAATTAACACAGGGTAGCTAACATACTGTAAGTCCATACCTTAACATACCATACTATCTGTCTGCTCATGCTATATATATGCTAACCATACTGCTTCATTACATCTTATTTTGAGGAATACAACCAATTCTAATGGTCACAACCCAAGGGTGTGATTTTGTGTGTGCGCGCTTCGGCACTGCTAAATTATTTCCTGCCACTCGGAGCTTTCTTTGCAGGGTGCATTTCTTAGTTGCAAAGAGAAATGCACGGTGCAAAGGAGTTCCCACCACCGGCATGCAAATTTGTGTCCCACTATTGGCCAGTTCTAAATTACTCCCACGTGGCGGCTAGCGATTGGCTTGCTAGCCGTATAAGAGGCTTAAGCTGTTTACGCCCAAGTTGGAGGACTCCACAACTATCAGGAGGAGGAGAACTTCACATCTCGTGAAGATCTCTAAGCGCTGTGGAGCCTATCCGACCCAGCGTATACCTTGAGAAGGCTACAGGGGTCTGATCAACCTCTGGCCTCTCCCCGTCTCCGAACGATCCCTCGACGAACCCCTTCCCTGCGCGCAAGTTCCACGAAGCCTAGCAAACTTCGTGTGTGTATCCAGAGCTCTTTTCTCCGAGTTTTTTTCTTTGGTTGACACGACGGGCTCGCGTGTTTAGAGCCTTCAACCGGATTGGGCTAGAGGTTCGCGTGGAAGGAACTCTTGTCCACCTCTCTTCTTTTCTGTCTGTAACCGCAACTCAAGCAAGTTTTCCTGCCTGCACCGTGACCATCTTCAGTGTAAGTAAAATAATCTTTAATCAACCGCTAAGCGTCCGTGCCTAATTCTGGTCCACCGGCCTGCATTCCCCGACCCGCGTGCCAGGGCTGCTGGCCACAGCCCCACCACGCGCCCCCGAGAACCTCGGACCGCTCCCGGCCCGTACACTAATCTCAAAATTTCTTCTCCACCAAACAAATTTGGTGAACCCTCCCTTTGAGAGATGTTTACATCAGAAAAGAAGAATCCCATATAGGAAAGAATGGTTCATTGACACAAAGGGAAGGAGCACCACAGCATTCTAAGTTTTTTGTAGAAATGATTGAATGTCCCACATTTTGGACTGTTACACTGTTAAAAATATCCTTTTTAGAGCAACCAATGTACTTAATCCTTTATACTGACACTATAACAGGCATCTGTTAAAGACATACTTACTGCATAGGGACTGGATAGATTTCTGATGTGAGGAAGAGATTCAAGGAGAGCCAAAATAAACATTGGCTTGATTATTTTAAGCTGTATCTCTTACCCAAGTGAGTGTAAATAAATCTCACCCAAGACTCAAAAAAGGTGGAGTAGAACTGGGGATGTCTTTGGCTTGCCTTGGGAGTGCTGCTGGGAATGATTAGCATGTTTCAGTCTAACGGTTTTTTTAATGACCTCTATGTTCGCTACAACTCTAGCCTTCTCTAAGGAGGGGGCAGGGCATACAACTTGTGTTGAGATGTTACAATCAGTCCAGTAGGCAGAAGGAATAAAGATTTGTTTTCCTAATACTATACATTAAAAAAAAGTCACCAGCTCTGTTATGTATGTCAATATTCACATCAAAATGTGACTATTTGATATTTTACTGACAGTACCAAAAATATGCTTGAATTTCAAACTTGTTGAGATGGCTGGGATGCAGGGATTACTTTCCCCTGAGGGCAGATAAACAAGATGGATGGAGCTAAACTCCGAATTGCTTAATGATCAAAATGCAGGGAAAGCTGTCAGAGAAAGGACTATCCTCATCCTAGCTGCCGAATTATTTCTAGTCTTACTGAGTAATGGACTGAGTGACTAATTAGTTCATGAATCCTACTCACAAATAGTGCTCTGATATCTGCTTAACATCTACTTTGAAAAAAATACTCTCTTGATAGGTGTCTAATAGCAGGCTTGCTGTATGACAAAACCTAGCCTGAACTCTCCCCAACCAAGCGCTAAATGTAAAGCATACAGATATGCCAGGAAGTTAGGATCCAGATTTGTATACAAAAGCACATTTCATCTATGTTTGGAGGCAGTGAACAGGAAAGAAGCAGGTTACATGCAGTGTTCCAAGATGCATGCTGACCTTAGGGCCAGATCCAGACATGCAGGCATGTGCAGCTTGTGGCATTGAAAACCTCATGTTAAAATGTGCCCCACACTGCAAATTTGCAGTGCAAGGGCAAAATTTGCTACCAGGAAATCCTGGTAGCAAAAAACATGCTAAAAAAAAAAAAAAAAAGTAGCATGGTACATGCCATAGGAGCATGTGCCAGCAGACAAGGAGGCTCGGTCCTCCAGGAAGATGCTCTGACTGTTGGCTAGGGCTTCTTCCCTCCTTTTGTTGTGCTCTGGCTCCTCCAGAAAGCCAGGAGCCAGGAGAAGCAGGGAAAGGGCAGTTTGCCCAAAGAGAGTCATTTTGTCCCACACAAAAGAGCAAATGCAGGGGTGTGCTCAGTGACAAAAAGTAGCGGCACAAGTTTGTTACTATTTTTGTTGCTGCAAGCACACACTACTGCATGTGGGGACATAGCCTAGAGGTTTTTTATTCCAAAGGCTTAATGTTACCTGTGCGTGTAGGCCCTGGACAGCAAGAGAAAATCCTGAAAAACCCCAAACAAATGTATTCTCAGCCACTGTACACAACAGAACTTCTGTCTTGCATGCAATGCAGAATGATTGAGTATTTGTACCTAGTATACAGCAAACGGCAATGTCAGTATTGCAGGCTAAGAGGGTTCCAGACAGATAGCATGACACATTTCTTGTGCCTTCCTCAAATTCTTCTTCAGTAATTCCCACAGAAACATGCTGGGCAGCTGTGTGCTTCATGTTGCAGAACATCTACTGCTGGATTCCATTCTCTCTTCAAGGGAAGCCAGGTGACCAATTTCCACATATACTACTGAGGGAGAAAAGAAGCAAAGGGAGAAAAGGCAACACCATAATATCTGGAACTACAAGCCACCATTATATCCAACAACACTTTGCTTCATCATATTCTAGGAAAGGAGGGAGAGTATATCTGGGAGCCAACTTCCACCAAGCCTTCTTCTCCTGTACCAAAGTGCACATAGGTAATGACAGTCATCAGATATACTCCATGCTTCAGCCTCTCCTACTCACCTTGAGTTGTACTTGAGTTGTACTTGCTCACTAAATTTTGTTCATATTGGCTCTATACCAACAGGCCAACTTCTTACATGAATTTTTGGAGTTTGTTACTGCTGAAAAAAATCAAAGGAGTTGCAATGGATTTCCACAAGTGTAAAAACTGCAGGGTACAGACTTATCATGAAGGGAGCATACACCCTGGCTTTTTACCTCTTTTGGGTCACTGGAAATGCCTTAGTATTTCATGTTAGTCAGTCAAAACTTTTATTTTTAATATAACTGCAAAACCGTTGTGCAGTTGCAGTATCATACCGAGCTGAATTTGCTCTGTGTCTACCAGGAACAGACAGTCCGATGGAAGAAAGTGTTCACAGTAATGAATGTTATTCAGGGTGAAGAGAACATCACAGTGAACACAGATGCTGCCAGAGCACTTCCTCTGCTGCGGTTCCAGAGAAGAAAAAGTGCTCTTTTGTCTTCATTGCAAATGTTTTGTGATCCCAAAAGTGTTGTCACAGAAGTGTCTTGTTTTTAGATTTGAAAATATGGTCACCAAACCAGTGGAGTTGCACAGTTATAAAAATGGCAGCAAGAGGAGCATCAAAACCTACGGGGCTAATTGGAGTAACCATTGCCAACCAAGCACTATGTGTAAAGCATATAAATATGCCAGAGAGTTAGGATCTAGATTTGTATACAAAGGCACACTTCACCTATGCTTGGAGGAAATGAATAGGAAAGAAGCAGGTTATATCTAGTACACCAAGATGAGTGCTGAACTTAGGGCCCCCTCTACATGTGCAGGTAAAGCTGTGATGGAATCTAATAACCAGACAACACAATCATGCTTTGTGCCATGCCATATGTGCATGACAGAAGGCATGATGTTTGTGGGATTGTGTGTTAGATCCCATCGCACCTTACTGCCAGTGCACCCCTGATAATGGGCTCCACCTATACTAGCAAGAAGCAAGCTCCCGCAGCTGGGCACCCCCTCAGCTGAGGGGCTCGGAGACACAGGGATGCCTCATGCATCCCCAAGCCCTGGAGATTGTGACAGTTGCAATTCCTAGGGCTCCAAGGTGTGTAAAACCCTCAGGGGACTGACATGGATTAAAGCACAGGGCCTGGACCCAGGGGCCCCTACAAATCACGGCCCCCTGGGAAAAATCTCCTGCTCCAGCTCAGGGGTCACACATGGACAGGCTGAGGCAGTGCCTGCAAGTGCACTGCGGAAAGAGCCAGCCAGGGCTGTGGCTGGGGCCGCACCATGCTCTGATGCCATCCTGGGAGCAGCAGAGTGAGCTCAGCCCCCGGGGCAGGCGGCTTCCATGGTATGTCTATGCCTTCGTAGAGCAGGGTCCGAGTCCACAGCTCTTACCTTCAGGCCCCAATAAATCTTAATCTGCCTCTGCCCGGTGATCATGGCTGCTGCAGTCCCAAGGGCTAGGGGGGGGGGGAAAGGTGTGGTATGTGAAACCCAAGGTCTAACTTGATGGCTGCTCAGAGCTTTTTATCATGTGGTAAGTGCTCATATGTAGCTGGTCTTAAGGTAACTGTGCAATTAACTAGTTAATTGCATGATACCAGTAACATGCCGAGGGGGGCTTAGGGGTTTTCATTCCAAAGGCCCAATGTTGTAGGCCTTGGACAGCAAGAGAATCCTGCCACCCTCCAGGCAAATGTATTCCCTGCAATTATATGCAAGAGAGATGTTCGGTTGTATGTAGAATTATTCAGTATTTGTATCTAGTATGCACCAAACAGCAAGGTCAATATTTTATGGCACATTTTTAGTGACTTCCTAGTGCCACTGAGCACATTTTAAGTGGTTTAGGTTAGGTGATTCTTTCTTCCCCTTCCCTTAGTCCAAAATAAGCTATTTTCTATTCCACAGGCCTGGAGCCTCTCGGCAAACGTTATACCAGCCAGTCAGATAACACCCTATCTGTTTTAGAGATGCATCTTTGCTGCAGTCTGAGGCTTCATAGCTACCAGTACCAAACTATGTGTGATTGCATGAGCTGTAGCTAAGAACTACCAAGATCTCTTCAGTGCTTGTGAGATACCTAATTAATAACGGTCTTAAAGACAGATACTACATGACGGAAAGGCAGTGATAAGGGGTATGTCTGTACCAGTGCTCCTGAGCATCCTGTTGAGAAAAACAGGCCCACCCACCTGCCTCACACATGCCAAACTCAGAAATAAGGTAGTTAAGCTGCCCGACATGTGCCCCCTGTCACTGTTCTTGAGCTCTGTCTCCAGGGCACTCTAGACCATTGGTCAACAACATTTTCTGGTGGTGGGACAAAATGAACCAGCTCAGCTCTGAGGCAGCAAGCACAGTGCTAAGACCCAGCTGCTGCCACCACCACCACTGCTTCTCCCTCGCCAGCCACAGTTCAGACAAAGCCCCCTGCCACTGAATGCCAACAAAGCCCATCAACTCCCTGAGCTGGATCCAGAATCATCATTTCATTTCTGGGTTTGGCATGTGTGGAGCAAGAGCAAGGGGGTTGGGCTGCCCTTCTAGGTTGTGTTCTCTTGATCTCCGGAGAAGCAGCATAGATAGACAATATGTCCCAAGTTATTTTAGTAATTGAAAAATGTAAGTGAGTCATATTTCAAAGACTACAGCTAGTGGAGCCAAACATTGTATGATTGCTTGAGCACACCAGAGTCTGCACCAAGGAGCGAGTAAAGAGACCTCATGGGAGCAGGAACCCTTGTATAGAACTGATGCTAAAATCAACGAGATTGCTTCCCAAAGTTTCCAGGAACTGCATTCTGAAGGTGCGTTTTTACCACTGTTGCTCTGCAGTACTGGCCTGCCACAGGCAGGAGCAGGGACAACAGCCACAGCCCACTCCTCATCCCACCTCCTTGAGGACAGTTAGCCTGGTGGCTAACACTAGCAGCACCTGTATCCCTCGAAAGATATTGTACTCAACTCCTCCATAGGCACACAAGGGAAAAAATGTATCTTGTTCCTTCTCACTTTGGCCACCTTTACAGGGCCAGGCAGAAATATACCCTTACTTCCAAAGAGTAGAGCTCAGAAGCATGGTGTGAGTGACGCACTAGCACTCTGGTCCTCTCGACAGGCTAGCTTCATTCATTCAACTCTCTACTACTTGAAGTCCAACACCATACACTTTGGAAAATCCTGCCCTTTTAAGCTTTTGCAACATGTTGTTCTACTGTTTAACAACAAAGTATAAAATTACCCTGAAAAAAAGAAATAAGAGCAGAACTTGCTGCAGGGAGACTATAAATCTCTTTCATTCACCATGTGCTCAGATAGACATGCTGACTCCCCAAGAACTACTCTGTATAACCAGACTGGTCTTCCTCTGCTGGAACGTATTAAAATGTCAGCTCATAGCAACAGACAGACAGAAAGACAGGCATGGGCACACACCCCACATCATCATTTGCAGTGACAAGCATTTCACAAACTGTACTGAACACTCACATTGCAGACAGATGGGGATCTAACACTTTTGTTTAGCTACTTCATAGCAAGCTTCTGTCTCCCTTGCTCAAGCTGAGGAGTACCTATTCCATGGCTAGTCCCATGCAGAGCAATGAGCTAAACTTAGTATCTTGGTATAGGCACATAACTTCTCCATGTCCAAGAGCACCTATGGGAAGAAACTGCACTTCACAGAATCAAATTTATCACTTTTCACCCCCCATGCTCCAGGCAACAGTCAAGTCACTGTAGCTGGTTTAAAGAGGGCCACTCTCTCTCCAATCTCTCAGTCCTGATCCTCAAGGGAAATTTACACAACACACCCCAGAGACGAGCCTATGAGCTCCATTTCATCAACCTGCTGGATACTAGAGATCAGGGACTAAACATAGACATTGGATTTTTGATACATTATAATCTGCCTGGCAACTGACTCCCCAGCCCAGCCCAGCCCCTGGCTTCTTTACTTTTCATTCCATCCAGGAAGAGCACACACCAACTGCTGCAGCTTCCTGAGCCTGACGAAGGGTTTTTGAACCCGAAAGCTTGCTTAATATCTATTCTCCAACCATTTGGGTTGGTCTAATAAAAGATATCAAATTCACCCAAGGAACCTTGTCTGCCTATATCCTTAGACCAACATGGCTACAACCTAAACCCCTGAAACTTATAAAGAGCTTTAAAGAATGAAGCTCACTTTTGCAGTGCACCTGGCTAGCAAGTAGGTAGTAGCCCTTGGCCTCCCTTACTTACTTGCTCATTCAGGGAGCAGGAGCTGCCTACTGTGGGCCCAGGGGCCAAGCCAAGCAGAGGGGGAAGAATGGTCACTTGGTTCTCCTAATTCTTCTTTCCAGACAAGTACTAAAACTAACCCAGTCATAGATTCAGAGATTGTAAGGCTGGAAGGGACCTCAGAAGATCTTCGGGTTCAGACCCCTGCACCACGCAGGAAAGATAACTGGGGTCAGGTGACCCCAGCAAAGTGACCATCCAGTCTCCTCTTGAAGATTTCCAGGGTAGGTGATTGCACCACCTCTGGAGGGAGCTTATTCCACAGTCTGGACACCCTGACTGTAAAGAAGTTTTTCCTAATGTTGAGTCTGAAACGGTCTTCCAGGAGTTTGTGGTCATTACTCCTCATTTTCCCCAAGGGTAGTCTGGTGAACAGTTGTTCACCGAGCCCTTGATGTACTCCCCAAATGTAGTGGCAAACTACTACCAAGTCCTCTCTCAGCCTTCTCTTTTTCAGG